GCCTCCCTCCTTCTCCAGTTCCCCACAGTTCTGTTAACGGCTTTATCTTCCATTCCATCAGTTCTCCTTCCTTATGTTCTGAAACCTTGGTTTGTAAAATATCTTTTCCATTTCCAGTATTATCACTGTGTCTTCTAAGTCTTCATTTATCTGAGTCTGGTCATTAGCTTCTTCCTTTAGATCCTCAGTGTTTGTGTCAGCATTCTCTAGTTTTCCTTCTATTTTCTGGGTTGCTGGATCCTTCTCTGTAATTATTTTCTGAGTTTGTAGATTTAAATTAGAAAATTGTTCTTTTATCTCCTTTGTGTTATTTTTAATCTCATCATGAGCTAAAGCGATAGTTTCTTGTATTAATTTCAACATGGAGAGAATTTCTTTCTGTGGTTCATCAGTATTTTCTTGGTGATATGGCAAACTGAGGTTTCTGGAGACAGATGTTAAGGTTGATTTTTTACTATTTAGAGCTAAGTATGGAACATCCATTTTATTGTTTGTAAATTTATCCAACCAACTAGCCATTCTTAAACCTCCCCTAAACAGATATAAGTAAAATTCAAATTTTTCTGTCCAATGAGAAAAATATCCTTTCTGTCCAGGGAGAAAAAAAGAACCATTAAAGTCTGTTTAACAATCAAGATTTATAATCCAAAGTATTCCATCATATGAGGCAATAGTGTATGTTTCTTCTACAGGAAAATAGTTCCACAATACAGTTCTGAAAGTCAGTATTTGTGTTCATAGTTCAGACAAGCCAATTTTAGAATAATATTATCGTCTCTGCCACACAGATAAGCAGCCTCCAAGTCGGTTCCTTTTTCTCAGCTGCAATTCTCAAAAGTAAAAGCTTCAAGGCCAGCCAAAGTCTTATCTAGCTCTGTGCTTCGAGCCAGGTTTCTTTTAGGCATAAATAAGTTGTAGTGCCTAATTCACCACTAGATGTCATCAATTCCATTTTTCAGTTTTTAAATTCAAAACTTATATTGTAAACTTTTCAAGTCCGCTGGTTTGGAAGGCTTCCTCAGATCAAACAGGAGGGCTGCTGCCCCCCCTGCAATTAATGAGGATCCCCTCTTTGCTTGCTGCCTCTATGGGGTGACTTTCGACCCTTTCCTGCATCTGCTTTGCCGCGACGCGAAAATTGGAAGCAGCTTCAGTACTCCTTTCACAGGTATTCATTGATAGCAACTTATAACAAATGCGGATTGCCTATGCTTTCTGTTCATTGCTCTTCATAAAAAAAAAAAACATATTCCACCCACAATGTACGATAACACCCTAATCTAGTTTCACATGTAAAATAAGTATCTTAAATCTGGAGAACATATATGGTTAACAGAAGACAAACAAAATGCACTTGCTGATGCAGGTTTTTAGCTAGTACTGGAAAAATGAGGTGTGTGAAAAGTATGCTGTGTTGAATTGCACCATGACAACTTGTCAATTCAACGTATTTTAATTTAAACATGGTAGGCTTCCATTTGCTAGAAATAGGATAGGATGAAATACAACTCTTCTGCAACTGATGGACTAAAAATGCTACAATAAGAATAAACATGATGGTTTTAATTCATTTATAAATGTCATTTCCAGATGTGGCAGTCAAGTGATAAAACATATAGGTCTGGATTTTAAGTTTAGTTTTTTTTTTTTTTAATTTGTGCACTTTGGTATTGGAAAAAAACCTATGTAATCACTTGTTTACCTTAATTTCCTGCAAGCATCACCCAAAAAATAAAACAACCCTACACACGAAACTAAAGAAAAACCCCAACCTTAAACATTAGTTAGAAATTTGAACATTAGGATTTAATAGATGATGCTGAAACAAAGCATGTCTCCATTTCAAGATCCTTTATGTGTCTTAAGAATTCTTGTCTATGAATTATTTTAACAGCTTTTATAGTGTTTCATGGAGAAATTGTACATTCTGATAAAAGGGTTTTCTGGAATTTATTCATTTTATTAGACGTGCAATTCTCTTTCACTAAAATGTCAGGCTAAATGCCAGACTGATAGACAGTTTCCAGTGAGCATTCACCAAAACTTGTTTATTTCACTTCCCCAAAGGCAAAGAAAGGCTGACTCTGAGTAATGGCCCTGGCTTTCATTGTTAAGTCAGAGTAAACTCATTTTATCCACATGATGGTAGAATGAGAATCTCCAGTGCAAATACTGTTTTAGAAGAGAGTCTTCTATTTGAAAATTAATGGAAATTAAATATTTGTATAGTAAGGGGAATATCTGCGTTTCTGTTCGCCTTGAATAATGCCCAAGAAAGAAGGGAAGAAAAGAATAGAAGAAATAATATACTATTAATATGGATGTAAGTTAAGGACCTTTTTGCAATGTTATTCTCTTCTCTGTTTAAAGCAATATAGACTGTTATCCATTCTTTCTTCAACCTGCTAAAAGCAATGGAATGAAATGGTTACACAGATCTAATCTACTACCATGGATTGTATTTATCCTGTCAAAAGCTTTATTTGGATAAAATAACTGTTTGACTGCAGACAGTTTCTCTAGATGGAAGGCCATTAGTTGCAGCACACTTCAGTTCTGACAGATTAATGGATCTACATGGTACAACTCTAAAGTTCATGAATCCATCAAGGGAAATAAATATTCAAAGTTGAATTGTGAATTTGAGAAAAATAAAACTTCATTCATTTTCATTTAATCTTCAGCACCAAAAGAAGTATTCACAATATGTTTAACAATCAGACTTATTCCCACTTTTTGCAATTTATGTTCAGTGTAGTAAATAAATATGGAGAACCAAGTGACTAAACTTAAGAGGTTTTATTGCCAAGTTTTGCAATGCTTTTCAGAACTCCAACAACATTTATCTTTTGAACGACTTGAGAATCCTACATATGTCAGTAGAGTCAGCACAAAAAAAAAAAAACAGCAGAAATTGCTTTCAATATTGTTAACACAATAAATTTTCATGCATTTTCTACTTTTACCTTTGTCACATTAATAATTCAATTCAGCTAAAATTTTTGGAGGAGCTCTGGAGACCATGTTTGGCTTTGAGGTCACAACTTACCTCTTCTATTTTCTGGATGGCAATTTCATTGGCAGTAGATATACCAATTGCCTAAGTTTGATGCTGGTAACTGGGAATCTTCATTCAGCTGCCTGCTCATAATCATTCTGTTAATTTGAATGTACTGAGCCATTATTTGCTCTTCTTGACTTTCCATGTCACACATTTATTTATTAATTGTAACGGAGCTGGGGTGAGAATGGGCCAGCTGAGAGGTTTTGCGGGAGTCCTGCCAATCTGGCACAGAAATGAGGAGCTCTGGCAGCTGCTGTGGGTCTGGCGGCGGGGCGGGGCTCTGAGGAGGGAAGATGCTGTGTCTCCCACTGCCAAAACTCCTAAACAGCTGGTGGGCCCCTCCCCAATGGTGCCAGTACAAGTGGAAGGTATTTATATGAGGGGCCTCTTGGATTCGGGTGCACAAGTGACATTATATCGGGATTTTTATGACAGACACCTGACGCATATACCCATACAGAAGTTGGGCGATTTGAAGATTTGGGGTATTGACATGAGACATTCCCATATGATGGGTACTTGCCCACCCAGTTAACATTTGGGCCCTCTATTGCTGGGTACACAGAAACTTTTGACACCTTTGCCCTTGTGTGTGCCTGCTCCCCAGGAGCTAGTCAGGGCTCGTTGATTGTGGGGACAAATACCAATTTAATTAGGCATTTGCTCACCCCGATTGTCCCAGTAGGGAATGATTCGGTTATAGGGGATGTCCATCCTGCACTGCAGACAGCATACCAACATTTGGTGTGGGAGCAACAGGCCCTGGCAGAGGGGGTGGGACGATTGTGCAAATTAGATCGAGCAAAGAAGATATTACAACCAGGGGAAGTGGCATGCTTGCAGGCCTCTGTCAGATTAGATTGGGAACAGCCTGGCCTTTACCTCATCCTCGAATCCGATCCTAGAAGGCAGAATGCTGGAGTGGAGGTAATTCCAGAGGTGGTCTCTACAAAGGCCTTACAGCAGGTCAGAGGACGGATTTCAATTGGAGTCCGAAATATTACGAACCTCCCTGTGAGGTTGAGAGATTGGATGTTGTTGGGGCAGGTGAACCCAGCCACCCCAATTGCACCTTCTGATACTAGGGAAAAGACTGAGGGTGAGGTTTTAATAGATCAGTTCTATCCTAAGAACATGCAGTTTTCCCAAGAGTGGCAAGAGAGGGCTAGAGACCAGCTTTGGAGGTGGCAACATCTGTTCTCAAAAGATGAGTTTGATGTGACCTGTGCTAGGAGCGCCCAACATATAATCTGTTTGCAGGAGGATAAGCCCTTTTGAGGGAGATCCCGGCAGATTGCCTTAGTGGGAAATAATCATTTTAAAAGAAGAGATAATAAGTCTGTGCCAATTGGTGTAGTGGTTAATAAGCTGACCTAAAAACCAGGAGACTTGATTTGCTGCCCAGAGTCGTTGGCTACAAGACGGGTGGCAAATACATTTCATAATAAATAAATAAAATGAAAGCCAACTAGGTGACCTTGGGCTAGTAACTCTCTCTTGGCCCATTCTATCTGACAGAGCTGTTCTAGTATGGAAAATAGAAGGAGGAAGGAGTTTTATGTATGTTCACCATCTTGAGTTGCTTATAAAGTAATAAAGGCAGAATTTTAAAAAATCTGATAAATAATTTCATTTATCTTTCAGGAAAGAACACTTTAAACAAGAAATTACAGTAAATATCTATATGTACAATAAGTATATCTATGATGCTATAGCAAAATCGCTAAAGTATACATGCTACACTGATCAAATATAATTTGGGATACAATTTTTTTTTAGAACTCTACCCAAGCATAAATGCTGACACAAATAAAAGTTTAGTGAAATTCCACTGGGTCAGATTCTGACACAAAGCAAAGTAATGAAAGAACTTTAATTTGATTACAGTATTTATTAAAAAAAAGCTTTCTAGTAATGTAAAGAAGGAAATACTTACATGCAATACGGACATAGGCCTTCCTACTCTTGGTTGTGCCTGCGGAACTCCAAGCCACACATTGGCACCAGTAATCTTCAGGTCCAAAGAGTTCTTCAACTTGTTGCCGTGAAATCTCAATGCTTACCTCTCGAACAATGAGTCCTACCAAAACATAATCAATATGTCTATACTGGTTTCAGAATTTGGCATTTTTTAACAGTAGGCAAGTAACTCATTGGTGTACTTTTTCTAAAATACAGTTTTTAGACTCGAAGCTGCTTCAGATATTGAAAAACAACAGAGGAAATGCAAGCCTTTTGGAGACCCTTTCTCAAACTCCAAGAGATCATTCAGAGGGAAGGATTTCACTTCTATGTTGTAATAGAAAACTGCCCAGCTCAACTGTAACAAAGAAGTCTTGAGAAGAACACAAAAATTGCAAACCTTAGGCTTGCAATCTGGCCATTTCTAGGAACATGACACAGATATTCTTCTGTCTTCCTCTTTAAGAAAGCAAAGCTGCTGAGAAATCTGAAAAACTCATACTTTATCAGAGAGTCCACCATAAAGTTTTTGGGACCTGTTCACATAGCTGCTCATTTGCTTCTTATTATTGCCACCCGCTTTCTCACTTATTCTTCTCCCTTTTAATCCAGAGGAAATAAGCAAAGCAAAATAATAGAAAAGCGAAGGTTCAGTGAGATTCTATCTGCCAAGGGAATGGATAGAGAAATAAGGAAAAATGAGCGACAACAGTAGAAGACAATAGTTTTAAAGAAGTAGACTGCTAAGGGAGGAGAAATGCTGAGAAATAATTCCAGTCTTACATGTATCTGTAACTATCTTACTGAAGAAGTGATGAAGGTAGGAAGAAGGGGAAAATATGCATTTTTATAAAATATATATTTTACACAGTTAGGCACACAATTATAAAACAAAGTTAAAATAAGTAGTAGATTATTGTCAGTGCCATAAAATTAATCAAGTTATGCTCACTTACATTAGTTGGGCATCAAATAGCTTTTAAACTGGATCATGTTTTCTCATTCTTAAAAAAAAAATCTTTTTCACATAGTGTAAAGCTATGCTAGTGCTTGCAAAGATCATAGCTATCTAATATAATAACATACCCCAAGTTTGCAGTTTAACTATAAGTTTTAGAACCCACACAAGGTTTACAACATGCTGAGTAGCCTTCATTTACCCGATCCATACTGTGATTTTAAATTACAGTATGATACTGAGTGACAAAGAAGAAACACAGCACTTCCATTGTTGATAAAATATTTATTTATACATTTTACATCTAAGGGTTTGCTACAGACAGTTTCTATTGTTTCAGTTATTAGATTTGAATCTATTTTTATTATATTTTTATGTGTTGGGCTTACAATAATGCCTATATTTGCTTTACAATGCCTTTAAAATTTTTTTTCTATTCTTGTTCTTTCTCTTATTAGAAGACATGAACTGTTATAATTGCTATTGCTTAGTTTATATTCTTTTTTTTATTGAAAATTTTATAAATTTTTACAGAAAAACAAAATAACAATACAAAAACGAAAAACAACATATACAAAAAAACTAAACATGACATAACAAAACTCCCCTTCCCCGACCCCCCCCAAAACACCCACCCCCTTCCCCCCCCTGAGCTTCCCAGAGCAGAATATAGGCTTAATTAAAAAAGAATTAAAAAAGTTATATATATATAAAAAAGAAAATATAACACTAAGATATATGTATATATATATAGAAATAAAAGTTATGAAAAAGCTATGTGATATTTTTTTATATCCAATTTAAATTGGCTTAGTTTATATTCTTGTGACCTTGTTGGATTGCCCTCAATACAAATGTGCTAAAATGCTATCTTCTCTGTAAGTGTAAGTGAGGAGTCATAAGTAGCTTAGAGCTTGGATAATGTCAACAAAGCTAATGGAATAGGGAAGAGAGGGTATATATACAGCATCCTATCTGCCAATCATAAAAGACCTAAAGTTGGAGAGTTTGCTTGAATGAATTCAAACCTGAATGAAGCCAAGCTGTGAAGGCGCTGTATGAAGCCTAAATGAGGGTCCAGGTGTGAGTCTAAACCGGGGTAGGCAACCTGGCTCAGGAATTCTGGGAGTTGAAGTCCACGAGTCATAAAAGAGTCAAGGTTGCCTATCCCTGGTCTAAACCAATGTGATGAGAGTCTTCAAAAGAAAGTCAACCTTTGAAGAAGTAGAAGGGTTTCATTTCTAGTTGCTTGATGGAGGGGATTTTATCATACGTTTTCTGACAGGTGGCCATCCCTTTCAGCTTAATGTATAGCTTTTCTTTTTTGGCAATAGCCTTTTTAACCTATTTCATCTTTCCATATAAGGTACAGTGCTTTTTTTCTATATAAAAAAAAGGTGCCGGAACTCACACACATCATACAACCCGCCTTGCCTACCCCACAAGATTCCATCCAAAAAAGGTGCCAGAACTCCGTTCTGGGTGTTCTATGAGAAAAAAAGCCTTGATAAGGTATATTTGATGAACACAAAGCAGATTAGACATACAACTCTTGATTCTGCATCTAGATATATTCTTATTCTGTTCCTATCACTTTTATTTCCTATGCAGTAAAGTTCTTCAAGTAAACACTTGCAAAGTTCCTAAAACAAAATTAAGTAAAATATATTTAAATGTATTCTTTGCTTTCTTTCATTATATAAACCGAGCAAGGTATTTATGAAGGATATACTTTGCTTGCTGTGTAAATGTTGCATGCATGAGTGAACGTGCCAGATGAGTAATTCATAGTCCCTAGGTAGATGATACAAGCCAGAAGTATTTGAACATATGCTCTGGATCCTATGAATCAAATGTTTTAGGTCACAATTTAACCTTAAGCTATTTTAGTCTGTGTTAGCATTTTTTTTTCTCTTTTGTACAAGACTTTCTTATTTGGAGTTCAGGAGGCAAGTTTTGTTGCCCCTGGCTCCAAAGACAAAGAGGCCTAAGCTCTGTCTTTACAGTGGAAAATAGTGTTCTGCAAAAGCACTGATTACAGAAAGCACACAGTGTGAAGTAGACTATTGTAGAATTGTTAAAAGCATCAAAACCCACATAAATGTGTTGGCAGTAAATGAAAAATGTGTCCAGTTCATAGGGTACAGTGGCCAGAGAAGTGGAAATAAAGATTACTACAGTTGACAATAGAGAAAAAATAGATGCAGGAATGTATCCATGAAACCTGCCATTACCAGTAAGATGATATATATAAAAGTTATGATATAAGGCTAGCCAGCTTCCTTCTTAACAGCTAAGTCCAAAAATCTAGATGAAATGTCAGAAAAAATAGGGCAATTAAAGCAAATAAAATAGTAAATTTTCCACCACATCTCCATCAGACTCTGAAACCATATGACATTTTCTTAAAACATTCTGGTAAAATACTGTAGTCTATTGGCATCTATTTTATTGTAAGTTGCATGGAAGAAGTTCTAAGGGTAAGGTTAAAAATACATTTTAGATAGTTATTCACATTCAAAAATATTTTTTATCAGTAAAATATCTTAAAGAACTAATGGGGTAGGGTGTATGGTGAGATTTATTGCTAGATTCTAATTTCTGAAGACAGATAGAATGTAGGAAAAACTTTCTGGCACTAGATTTCTTCTGTTCTCCGGGTAAATACTGAATATCTTTTTTGTTTCAGTAGATGTAAAAACAGATATTAAAAATACACAAAAAGTGTATATTTATTGTATCTTTCAACTACATGTTGAAAGAAAAACCCTTTTATTTTATCAATTCAGTTATTTTTCAAGAATGTTAACCTATAATAGCCTTAATTTTACTATAATTCATAGCTATTGAGTTTTTTAGGGAGATATTTGTTAATGTTGCTATTTTGGATTGGAGATACAATAGACCAGGGGTAGGCAACCCAAAACACTTAAAGAGCCACTTGGACCCGTTTCCCACCAAAAACAAAACACTGGGAGCCACAAAACCCTTTTGATATCTAAAATGAAGATAACACTGCATATATCCTTTTTTACCTTTATTATAGGTGTGTGTGTGTTTGTGTGTGTGTGTGTTTGTGTGTGTGTGTGTATATGTATATGTATACGTATACACACACACACATATACATACACGTACACACACAGGTAAAAAAAGGATATATGCAGTGTTATCTTTATTTTAGATGTCAAAAGGGTCTCTCTCTCTCTGTCTCTCTCTCTCTCTCTCTCCCTCTCTATCTGCCCTTGGTCTGCCACTCCTCTTCCCCCTCTCTTTCTTTCCTCTCTCTCTCTCCCTCCCTCTCTCTCTCTTTCTCTCTCTCTCTTTCTCCTCCCCCCCTCTCCTATCTGCTGCTCACCTGGCAAGCTTCAAGCTGTTGTCCAACAAGCTCAGGGGTAAGCAACCTCGGCTCTTTTATGACTCATGGACTTCAACTCCCACAATTCCTGGGCTAGCTAGCTCTCTCCTGCCCTTCCTGCTTCCTGCAGAGACGCAGCAAAGGGAGGAGCTCTGCCCAGTAAGCTTTTCAGCTCCTCGGAGAACACTGTGAGTGCACTCTCTTTTACACATACACACACACACACACAAAACACACACACACACAGAGAGAGAGAGAGAGAGAGAGAGAGAGAGAAGCAGGGAAGCGCAATTGCCTCTCTCTGTCTCTGTCTCTCTCTGCAAAGGCAGAGGAGGCTGGGAGCCACAGGGGAAGGCTCAAAGAGCCGCATGCAGCTCCGGAGCCGCAGGTTGCCGACCTGTGCAATAGACCATGAGATTTCCTTTTTTTTTTTTTTTTTTTTTGCAGAACAATTGTACTGTGAAAATTTCTGGCAGCATGTAACAAAGTTAACATTATTAGGCAGACCACATTTTTGTGTAAATCACAGACACCTCTTTATGCTGCTTAAAATCTTCTCAGGCACTTGATAACAATATAACTAGATAAACATTTATTTAAAATTAGGCTCTATTCAACTTCAACTGACTCAGGGCAGTTCACAATATAATCAATAATTTATGCAAAACAAACAAGATGGAACCTATCTTGTTTTTTTTTTCTTTTTATGACCTGTAATTCCTTTTTAACAGGATGGACTCGGGCGACTAAATGAAGCTGAGCGCTTACTGGCTGGATGCCCTTCCTGACACCTAGATGGAGT